TTTTTTTTTTGAGAACAAATTACTCACTAGTCAACAATAATAATAGTAATGAAGCAAATGATATTCTTTGCAGGAATTTGCACTGCAGTAATAGCACTATTCACCGACCTAAACATCCTCCTCAACCTCGTCTCCATCGGCACCCTCTTCGTCTTCTACATGGTCGCCAATGCAGTGATCTTCAGACGCTACGTTGCCCGAGGGACCACAAACCCTTTGCCCACGCTCTCCTTCATGCTCTGCTTCACCCTCACCAGCATCGCTTTCACCCTTCTCTGGAAATTCGGGCCGCCGGGCAAGCCCAAAGCCGTCATGTTGGGCTCCACTGTGGCCTTCGCTATCGCCGTGGTACAGCTGTTCCATTTCACGGCCCGTCAGGCCCGAAAACCGGAGTCTTGGGGGGTTCCACTCATGCCCTGGATACCTTGCGTTTCCATATTCCTCAACATATTCCTGTTGGGTTCGCTGGATGGCCGGTCTTACGTTAGGTTCGGAATCTTTTCGGCACTTACGGTGCTATTGTACGTTCTGTACAGCGTCCACTCGAGCTTCGATGCCGATAAAAGTGGTTCCCTCGTTCGGGACAGAACTGATGAAGGAATTAGTATGAAGGAGTATGATACCAATGTTCCTACAGGCGATGCTCCAAAAGTGTGAACCTAGTGTATTTTTGCTCCTTGTATTAACTTGAGAGTAAATTAAGGAAGAAAAAAACAAAAGAAAGGAAATAGAGGAACATAATAGTATGAAAAAAAAGAAAAAAGAGTATTGAAAGATGTACAAAAGGTCTCCCCGTCTGTTAACACCTTTTCTTTGCCCATAACCTTTGGAGTAAGGTAATGGGCACTGAGCAGGGGTCTGACATTAGAATAGATAATATAAAATGCTACAATAAATATAGTATGGTGAATGATATTTTATTTGTTTTTTTTTTTTTTATTCTTCTTAAAGTAATGCCATATAGATCAACCTTGAAACGTATAATTCTCACGGAGTGCGCTTAATGTTGGTACAAACTGAAATAAGAACTGAATGATGCGGAAGCAATAAACCAAAGATTTTAAAACCCTTCAGGGAAGCGTCCCACTTCCCCTCAGAGCTCTTTCATTGATAGATCAAACATACACATAGCTTGGACTTACAACGACTCGAACTCCCTTCAAGCCTAGCCAACACTACACAGATCCTATCAACTAATTCTCCGGCCACGTCCCGTGGACTTTAATAACCTACACTTACTCCCTAAGTGTATAAGCTGTAAAATAGTTTTTGGATGAAACACAAAGAACAAAATAAAACAGCTTCAGTCCTTGAGTTAGTTCGAACTCTCAGACTGAACTGTGTACAACTCAAACAAAAAACAGAAAACACGAAGCTCAATTATTGCTCTATAAATCTTCAAAACTCAGCAGCCGCAATGAGAGCTTGCATACGGGTATTTAAAAGAATCTCCTTAGGGTTGGAGTCTTCTACAAGGCATAGGACTCCAACCTTGATTTCCTTCCTTGATTATAGCATGAGAATTTGGTAAGTGAATCTTCTTCTCTCTCTCTCCTTGATCTCTTTATCATACATGCCTCTCCTTTCCTTATCTCATCCGATTTCCTACAAAACAAAGTACCATAATAAGATCCGTAATATCTTATTTATGGAATATAAAATAATTGTAATTAAGGAAACAAATAAGCAAAGATCTTCCCTGTTTCTGTAGTTCCAGGTGCTTGTTCGAACCTTCGAACTAATGCCAAAATATATCTTTCAATCTCCCCCTTTGGCATCTAGTTCGAAAATAGTAGACACTAAGGTCCCCTGAAATGAAAACAACAAGCACCAAGAGACTAATCACAGTAATAAGTTAGATCACACAAAAATATTATATGGGCAGTTCTCCCCCTCAGTACCTGCAATCTGTGCATGGAAGTATAACAAAAACGACATCAATTAAAGAAACCAAGTTCACCAAAATGATCATCCATAAAAAACAAAGTACTAAACCATTAACAAAAGTAA